TTGTGCATACAGAACTGGGGTACAGGCCAGAGGTACAGGGGCAGTGAGAGGGTTCACCAGAGACAGAGTGGGGAGCAGAACAAGCTGACTGTTAAGTACACTGTGGAGGGGAGCAGTGGGCATCACCTTCAGGGTGGGCAGGGAACAAACTCATGCTCAAGTGGCTTTAACTTTTAAGTGCTGCTTTAACCTGCTGTGCCACCAGGGAAAGCCCCTGTTGTGTTTTTTAATTGTTATTGTTATTATTATGTTTCCTTGATGCCTTGTATGGTTATAAGTGAAACCATCTAATATTTTTCTTTTTCCTCTGGCTTATTCCACGGAGCATAATTCTCTCTAGCTCCGTCCATGTTGCTACAAATGCATTAGTTTATCTTTTGTTGATTGCTGAGTATTACTCCATTGGATATATGTACCACATCTTCTTGATCCAGTCATCTATTTAGGGCATTTGGCTCATTCCAAGTCTTACCAATTATAAATAGTGCTACAATAAACATAGGGGTGGGTGCCAGTGTCCTTTTGAATTAATGTTTTTGTCCTTTGGGTAGAGTAGAGTTGCTAGTCATATAGCAGCTCCATTTGAAGTAGACTGAGGAAACTCCATATGGCTTTCCATAGTGGTTGGACCAGTTTGCATTCCTACCAGCAAAGCAGATTTCCTTTTCCCCACATTCTTATCAACATTTGTTGTTACTAGTTTTTATTTTTTTTTTTAATATGTGACATTCTCATTGGTGTAAGGTGATATCTCATTGTGGTCTTAATTTGCATTTCCCTGATTATAAGGGATACTGAACAATTTTTGTATGCCTGTTGGCCATTTGCATTTCTTCTTTGCAGAAGTATCTTTTAAGTTCTTCCACTCATTTTTTGACTGGAAGGGGCTAGCAGGCACCAGGAATGTGTGCAGCCCCTGTGCCATTGTTGCAAGACGGGATATGCAAAGCAGAGAACTCATTATCCCCCGGTGGAACTGAAAAAAATTTAGGAGTGCAGGCAGAGGGGACCAGAAAAGTGCTTGCAGAATGAAACCCTATGCCCACCTGAGATATGAAACCAAGTACAGTCAGCTGGAGCTGACAATAGTACCGGGAATGAATGCAGCCCCTGTGCCATTGTTGCAAGATGGGTAGTTGCAAGACAGGGACCTCATGATACTTCTGTGGAACTGAAAGAGGGAGGGCTCTGAGAATGAAGCCTGAAACCCCACGCATCCCCATCTAGCACTGAACAAATACAGAAGTTAGGGTTCTTTAGGGACTCTGCCCATCAACATATCCACAGCACCATTCCCCTTGTGGGGTCCTGGCACAGAGTCACTACGTTTTCAGTGTCCTCCTCTTGGTGGGACTGTCATGTTAACGGTAAATAGGGCAAGAGATGCCTGGAGCTATAGCTTCAGAATTGGGAGTCAGTTCTTTCATGACTAATGAGCATCCATAGCTAATGAGATTCAAATCGAAATCAGTGCAAGTTCACACTAAATGGCAAATACATACTAGAATAATGAAGAAGAAACATTTCTACCTGACCAAAGATGCAGACAGGAGCCCCGTAGACATCAGTCACACAAACGCTGCAGTCTGAGGAGGAGGAGAGGACGAGCACACGGCCACCAGCCTCACACATCTCCAGGGAACTTATCTGCTCTTCATGAGGTTGCAGTGATCTTGTCAGTGTTGGGGCCTGTGTGATTTTGTTCTGGCAGGGATTAAGACAATATTCCTGAATAAAAAGAAACAGCAGAATACTAAGAAGTCCAAATATTAAATTATTGCAATGCCATCATGGTTTTTAAGTCTGGTATAGAAATGTAAAAAGGTACATTTAAGGACAATATGTTATTATCAAATTTCAAAAGGTGTCTCATGATATTAACAATAAAACATGTTTCTAAATACTTTGAGTAATTTAACAAGTATAAAGAAAGGAAGGGGGGGGAAAGGGTGCACAGAAAAGAATGGACACAGTCAATTATTTAATAGAGATGAGCATTAATCACATATATTAAACAACTTTGGAATATTACTAGAAAATGAAGCAGGAGATCAGTAACATATAAATCTCAAACAAACTCAGGATGACAATATCACTAGAAGCAAGGCTAGCATTCAATTTAAGGTGTGCTTATAGTTTCATTTCAAATTTCAAGTATATCCAATTATTTATGCTCAAATAACACTGTAGTACTTAACTGACAATATTACATTTCTAAATTGTGTGACTGGCTTGACTATATGGTGACAGAAGATTTTTGATATTGAGAAAAATCTGCCCCATAAGTTATTTTAAAGAAGTTTCTGCTCATAAAGGGCAGTGCTTCTTTTAAAATACGATGACTGGACATTTCTTCCTGTATTTAAGAAATAGAAAAGATTGGGTTCATAATTATCTTCAACTGAACAACAGTCACAATTTTAAAAAAAATGTAGAAAATATTTAAATTCACTTCTATATTCCAGATTTTCAACTGTCCATCAGCATCTCCTGTAGCAAGGTATCGGTTCAAATTATCTGTCGCCATAATAATAGCTCCAACGCCACTATGAGCCAAAAATTCAGCCAGAAGTTGCCTCTTAAATGTATTCCAAAATCGGACGAACCCAGATCCTCCACATGAAACCAGGTTAGCTCCTCCTAACAGGGAAGAGAACACCCAGTTAGGGAACGCAAGTGCATCAGGAGAGTCTTCCCCGTGAAAACACACCTGCCGGGTAGATAAGGAGCGCTCTGATCCTCTCAAACCTGAGTGAACTTCTCTAGTTTTTGTCAACTATTAAATGAGATAGAATCAGATTTACTATCAAATTTAGTTCTCTTTTCGTCATTATTTTGATGTTACTGGATTCCTTAATTGAATTATTCCAAATAAACTTATAAAATATTAATTTCAGCATTACATTACATTATTCCATTCTGTAACATTACAATATTCCATTCTGTTTATATAAATGTATCTTTCTTTAAAATCCTTTGTATACATATACCGAAGAAGGAAATCTTGGGCCTTCCTTAGTGGCACAATGAGTTAAAGCACAGCACCATGAAGCTAGCTGATGCATCTTCAGCCACAGTTTCATCCCTGGTCAGGATGCTAACCCACCTGGCATGGCAGACCTCTTCTGACCTGCCGGCTGCTCCCTTCAGCAGTGTATTTTGTTGATCTACCTGTTCTGCTCCCCATTTTCTCTCAGGTGAATCCTCTTACAGCCCCTGCACCTCAGGCATGTACCCTAGTTCTGTATGCACCCTAGTTCTGTATGCATAAATAAAATAATTGCTTTTAAAAAAAGAAGTAAAACTCTTCATGCAGAGTCCTGGACACATATATGTAGCTATAGGAACATAGTTATTGATTTATCCATATAACAGCATGCTTAGAATTTTATTTATAAATGTATTATAAATTTTTCATCAAGTATTCTTGTAAGCTCTTATGAAACAGTTTTTGGTTCCTAGCCCTAGAACTAACCCTTTAATTTTCCATTTTTATATGCTTTGTAGAAGCACTTTACCTAAATCATTCTTCTTTGGCAAATTTCCTATTATTATTTGATAAATCTGTAGATGATTTTCAATTTGCTCCACAAATGTGCTGCCGATTAGCAATCATATCTGCTTAAAGTAGAAATAATGGCATATAGCCATTTCAATGGAAACAGTTTGGGAATACTGATAATATTAAGAAGAATTAGTGTTGAAATGAGAGCAATGTCAAGATAATAGTTCAATTATGAGTTCTAGAAAATGAAAAGTTTTAAAGTCCAAGTTTCAAGTTTATGCTAACTATCCCATGTTTAAAAAACTACACAGTATAACACTTGATTCTTAACGTTGAGAGTTTTATATAAAAGTAATAGATTTTCCAACTGCAAATAAAATACAGGAAAGTGAATTTAGAAAATATGGTTCTGCTGGGTTTCTTTCTTAAACATGTAATACCTGATATTGAGGCTTCTAAAGTTAAACAAAACTACTTCTAAAATATATTAATTAAATAAAATCTCAGTGTGCATTATCCCCAAAAGCAGATTTTTTTTTTTAAGATTTATTTATTTTTGTATACAGAAATGTGATACAAGCCAGAGGGGCAGGGACAATGAGAGGATTCTTAGAAACAGAGTGGGGAGCAGAACAGGCAGATTGATGAAGTATACTGCTAAGGGGAGCAGCAGGCACGTCAGGAGAGGTCTGCCACGCAGCCATGTGGGTCAGCCTCCTGCCGGGAGATTGAACTGGTACTGCAGTGGTTTGGGAGAGCTTCATAATGCGGTACTTTAACCCGTTGCGCCACCAGGGAGAGCCCCAAAGGCAGGTTTTTATTTGTGACAATGCAGACTAAATCAATATTGTGCCAACATAGGTATTGAAAACAGAGGGGAATTTAAGCACATGGCTATATCTCTATATAATAATAAATAACTACATTAAATCACATGCTCGTGCCAATGTTCACAGTCTTCCCAGCAGAAACTTTAACCAGACATTAATTTATTCTGCAGAGTATATACAGGTGCTATGAATAAATGAATGAAAGACTGTGCATGAATGACACAGGCAGCGCCCTCATCCTATGGTCAACAGTTATTTTGAATTTTGGGTTCACCCCCAATCTCACCCTTTTCTCCTATCACAAGCACTACAGTCAGCCACAGACTTATGCCACCTGTAGATATAGCTGGAGCATTTTCTTGCGATGTCCTCTACCTCATCAGACCTTTTAAAAAGTATGTGGCTAGAATAGCAATTGCAGTTGTTGCCATTGTCAAATAGTTGAGCTGAGTTCTTCTCACCCTGATGTTAATAGAGACAGCAGTAGAATGCTGACAGGGCCTCCGATGGCTCTTCTTCTGGGACCTGTCCTCTGGAATCCTAACCTGGTCCACTCTGCTCCCTGGCTTCACATGACCCAGTGCTGACAGCCTGGGTCAGAGATGAACTTTCTAAGACCTACACAGGAGTAAGTTGAGCTTCCTTTATTGATCCTTTTCCCAATAATTTATAATATTTCAAAGAAGTCTACAGTCCAATAGAAATACATATATCTGTGTGTGTATATATAGAGAAGTGTATATATCTATATATATATATTATTTTATTTTATTTTATTTTATTTTTACCTGTTACTTCAGTGTTTTTTCTTGCTTTAAGGAAGCAAAGCCCCATAACAGCATGATTGCACTCAGTGCTAGACTCAGGAGAACAGGCACCCAGGTCTGCAGTAGAAGAGGTAGAGCAGCTTCTCTCAGCACTGAGGTTTTGAGGTTCTGAATCTGTGATAAAGACAAAGCCAGGTGTCTTCATGAATAAAGAAATATGCTTTTCAAAGGGTTGTCTCTTAAAAACAACACACCACATTCCAGATGACTCCATTAAGTCTCACAAGAGGCTTTTAGCCAGCATCCATTGAGCATTCTGCTATTCACTTATTCAACCTCAACTTGTAAGATTATTTGATTCTAATCTTGCCTTGCATGTTCCAGGCACACTTACTGTTTTCTCTTGATGTAAACTAATAAGGACCTAATTTTGTTGTCATTGTTAACATCCTAAAGACTCTGTTATGTTCTAGAGAGGTGTGCTTCTCATATGGTATTTTAATATTATTAGTAATATTAATATCAAAATAATTTGAGTATGATATATAACACTCTTTTATTATATCTAAATGATCAAATTTTAGCAATATTATTTGTGAGTTTCCCAGGAGAGGAATGCTTAATAGTATGTTAATAATCTAATGATAGCACTTCTTAATCAACTGATAAAAACTGGGGATGTTTATCTTGCAATTTATGAATAGTCTATACATAGTAATGAGAAATCTATGCAGGGGAGAATGGACGAAAAACATCTATAGGGCCTCCCTGGTGGCACAAAGGGCTAAGTCTCAGCACAATAAAGCTAACAGGAGCCACTGCAGCTCCAGTTCAATCCCAAGGCAGGGAGGTGACCCACAAGGCACAGCAGACCTCTCCTGTCTTACCTGTTGCTCCCTTCACCATGTGCTTCAGTCAATCTGCCTGTTCTGTTCCCCACTCTGTCACTGGTGAATCTTCTCAACCCTGCATATCTGGCCTATACCAGTTCTTGCATAAATGAATGAATGAATGAATGAATCTTTACAATAAAAAATATTTGTCCTTTTTGTCTGTGGCAAAGACTTTCACATATTTTTAGAAATTTGATTATTATCTGATTTTATTTCTTAGTATATTTAATCATTGTCATAATTAGGTTTACTGTAAGATCAAGTGGCACTCTCCTGAGGACCAATGTATAGTGAAGCAGAGTTTCAGGGATCAGATGAACCCTGATAATTAGCTCTTGGTACCTAAAGCAGATCAGAGCTTTGTGCCTGAGCCAAGCAAGCCCCAAATCTCTTAAATTTATTTTCTTACCTTTAACAAATGACACAATGACACTCTCAGCTTCTCTCTCTCTCTCTCTCTCTCTCTCTCTCTCATGCACACACACACACCCAAACAACTATCTGTATGTACATACAGATAGTTGAGAGAACAGAACTTCACTAGGCCATGAAGAATGACATATTCTTTAAACAAACAAACTAGTCTAAGGAAAAACCTTTAGTATCTAAGGAAACTAAAACAAAATGTGAAAGGAAATTTTCAAGACATTTTGCTTAAGTATAAAATATTCATGTGCTCTGCCAAACTCTCATAAAACACAACATACTTCCATCTAATAATACTCCTTACAGGTAACTAAAGCAAGAAATAATTTAGAGATTTCCAGGTGGCATCATATTTAATATAAGCACTAGACTGAACCTAAACAATAAGCAAATACCTCTTCCCATATTTCTACCAAGGAGTACCCACTGTTCATTCAAAGGCAGTTTGGCAAGGTTTACTAACAAAAGCTAAGGTAGATAAAATGAGATAACTGCTTCCTGCCATCAGTAATTCAGAAATGGGGAATTTTTAAATACTTCTTCTGAGGAGAAGAAACTACGTGCCACGGAAAATTTGTTAAACCAAGTAAATCTCAGGGTTCTTTTTAGTCACTTTTGTAAGACAATGAAATCAGTAATCCCTTGCAGTATAGCCAATTTTATATAATTTAGGAAGAAGCTGTATCTGGTACATACATAAACAACTAGGACTATTGTAGTTTGAATCAGTCACATCATCATAGCATTAAACCTGAACTCACTCAATCTTGATTTTATCAGCACTTGGTAATCAGGGTGAAGTACATAGTAAGCATTTTCTGTGCTGTTGTTCCATAGAACAATTTCTCCATCATAACTCCCTATATGAAACAGAAAGGAGGACATAAGTTTTCAGAAAGTTAAAAAATATGAGAAATAGCATTGAGGAGCCATTATTATAATTGCATACACAGATAGCTAATTTTTTCCTTAGCATTTAATAGATTATGCTATATATTTTTAGATATATGAAAAACTAGTATCTTTATCAGACTTTCAAATCACAATCCTCATGACATAACTGTGCATTGAGTGTGATAGAAATATGATTACATCTTGTTTCAAATTATAGTAATGAATCATTCTGAATAAGGGCATTATAGTTAAAATTTTGAGTTCAAGTCCTGGTTCTACCACCAACTATTTGTGTAGCCTTTAGTAAAATATTTAACTCTATTAATGTCACAATCCCATCATGTGTAACTGGCTTAACGATTGTGTTTATCACATAGGATTTTTTGAAACAATAAAAAATACTTAAAAGACAAGTTTTCTAGGTTTGCTTTCTGTTTCCTCTACCATTGTATGTATGTACATGTATGTTCTCTTTATTACCTCCTTCATAACTTCTTTTCAGTGAATACTAAGTTCTCTATCCCTCAGATTTTCCTGCAGAAAATTCTTCTGTACTGATCTTTACAAAGAACTTAAGGGTCCAAATAATAAGTCTGAATTTGATGAAGCCTGTCACTAGAAGAGCAATATGTACCCATGAGCTCAGTGAGAACAGTTCCTTTATGAGCAGATTGTCAGTGACAAGAGCAGATCGAAAGAGAAGAGCTGAGTTCCAGTGGGATATACAGATGATGTCTTTCTTGAGAACTGGAAAGATAAGTACTAATATAAACTAAACTCTGCACTGGCCAAAGAATGTGGTCTTCAGTGTCCCATGGGAGAATTCATCTTCTCATTTGATTTCAAAATGATTGACCTGAAAATTTCTGAACCAAACATTTTTACATAGAACTAATGGAATTAGAATGAGTGGAAAATATATTGACTCACAAGTACATGACTTTTATGACACGTTCCAACAACTACACAGATTACAATTTACTTGACTCCATCCTGATATAGTGTGTGGCATTACTTTGTATGGGTGGACTACCAGCTATAAAAACTCAATTGCAGGGACTCCCTGATGGCCTAGGGGTTCAGTCTCAGAACTATCACCACTACAGCTTGAAGTCCACGCCCAGCCTGCAGATAGCTAGCCCACACACGTTGTAGCAAACCTCTCCTATCTTTCCTGCTATTTGCATCAGTGTGTTTCATAAAATCCAACTATTCTGCTCTTTATTCTGTCTCTGGTGAATCATTTTACCCCCCCACCCCCACATCTCTGCCTTACACTCCAATTTTTCTGCACACGAAATTCAACTGCAGAAGGTAATCAGGTAAGATCTGAAAATAATGGAACATTTAGTTATCAGTAAACTGAACCTCTGGATGGTGCAAGAATTTAAGTCTCAGCACAGTGAGGCTATCTGCAACCACTGCAGCACCAGTTTGACACCCAGCCAGAGAGGTGACCTCTCCTGTCTTTCTCACTGCTCCCCTCAACAGTGTGTTTCTGTCAATCCACCTGTACTGTTTCCCACTCTGTCTCTGATGAGTCCTCTCAGCCCCCACACATCTGGCCCTAGTCCTGGGTGCATAAATAAAATAAATCTTGAAAACAATTAGTAAACTTCATTTTGTAACACTTAAAGATAACCTGCTCTGTACCTATAAGCTTTTATACCTCTTGTTTGATAACATTTGTGAGTCTACTAAAAAAAAAAAATAGGGTTTCAAACTATGAACTAAATTATTTCGTTTTTTAATTTCTTTTAATATTTATTTATTTATGCATACAGAACTGGGGTACAGGCCAGAGATGAAGGGCCAGTGAGAGGATTCACCAGAAACAGAGTGGGGAGCAGAACAGGCAGATCAATGGGGTACACTGCTGAGGGGAGCAGCAGACGGGCTTAGGAGAGGTCTGCTACGCCATGTGGATCACCTCTGGGGGATCGAACTAGCACTGAAGTGGCCATGGCTTGTCTTAACCTTCCATGGCTTGTCTTACCTTCTCAGTGCAGTGCTCCAACCCGGTGTGCCACTAGGGAGGGCCTTCATTATTTTATTCGTCTTTATAAATTGTTTCATTTGCCTAGACTATAAATGATACAACAAATTTGATTCTCTTTAATATATCACATCAAACCATGCTCACTAACCCATTTACCAGCTCAGACTTGGGTTGTTCTGGGACCAGATGGAGTCAGAGGAGGTCCCTGCTTTGCTCCTGAGAGCACCAAGTAGCTAATCAGAGGGATGTTACAACAAGGGAATCCTGTGAGTTGAGGCAAGGTTGGAATGTCTGTGGGCATCAAAGACTAGCAGAGACTATACCCAAAAGGATTTCATGGAAATAGATGCTTCATTGAACAGGAGTGAGTTGAGAGGAGAGTCCAGAGGTTTCAATTCAGGGAAGGAGAAGGGAAGTTAGGAAATGTGTACAGATAAGTTAATTAGAATCAGGGGGGAAATTAGTCCAAACGACCTGAGGCCAATTATCAAATCAAACAATCAGTTAGAACCAGGAGTATGCCCTAAAACCCAGGTGTCTTAAACCCATTTATTAAAGTGAATGAGAAACAATCAGTTGGAGGCAGGGTGCCCCCAGCCCAGTCAAAATGAAATGTTCAGAACACTAACACAATAACATAAGGCTAAAGCAAGAGACCAAAGCTCATTTTCGGACAGCCAGCCAGGTAAACTGGGATACTCACTGAGCCTTAGTTTTCTAGGAGGCCCCACAGGTCCCAATCAGTCAGCAACTCGAAGATACCCAACACGTGACTCCCCCACTCCTTGCCCCCTCAGCGGCTACCCATTTGGCACCCTTCCCTTCTCAGAAAGCTCTCTCTTGCCATCTGCCAATTTACTTTTTGTTTCTCTCCTTAACTCTAGTCTCAACAATGAATTCTTTCCTCACTGAGACGAGAACTGAGAGCAACGTGGGTACTGAAACCCCAGGCCCAATTCAACAAGTGGGTGCTGCCACATGGCTACAGGCCCCGGCAGAGGGAGAGATAAATGTTATGGAAGAAGATATTATTCACTGAGGGGTAATATATTCAAAGGAATTGGATTATTCCCACATAGACACAATAGAGGAGCCTCCCTAGTAGTGCAGTGGGTTAAGTCTCAGTACTGAGGCTATTTGCAGCACAAGTTCAATCCCCGTCTAGGGAGCTGACCCACATGGTATGGCAGACCTCTCATATCTTGCCTGCTGCTCCCCTCAGCAGTCAATATGCCAGTTTTGCTCCCCAATATGTCTCTGATGTATATCTTTCCCACACCCCAGTTTTGGATGCATAAATAAATAAATCTTTTTTTTTTTTAAATGAACAAGGACAAAATACTGAACCTGCCTCTACCCTCAGACTTGTATTGGTCATTTGAAGTGTACTGACAGCACAAAATTACAATGTCTTGCATATGGAATAAAACAAAAAAAAATTTAAAAAAGGGATATTAGATGTTATTAGATGTGTCAAAAATATGAGTCAGCCCTCCTCCTCAGCAGCACATTCTCATCAGAGGCTGGGTCCTTCCAGACCTCCAAGGTCCTACAGCACCTTGTGACTCAACAACAACACAAAAGGTTCTGCTATCTATGGAAGACAGCAAAAGTAACTGTAAGTTACTGCTACAGATATTTCAAAAATATGGAATCTTAACCAGCAAAATGAACAGACAACAAAATATAGTATGCATTTTGCCACTTGTTAAAACATAGATGAAATGGGACAGGATAATGTTAAATAAAACAAGTCACCAGGAAAATGATTAACACAGGATGATTTCAATCATATGTGAATATAAGGGAACAAACTGTGGAACTGAGCCTACCAGAGGAAGATGGTATTTGTAGGGAACACAGGGAGAGAGTCCTCAACAGACTAAGATGGAGGGTTAGAGGTGCCTTGGTGGTGGGTGTGGTGTGATAACATATATGAGTAAGTGTGAACCTGTATCTCTTATACAATGTTTAAAACATTGTTACCACACACACACAAATACCTTAAAATGTCCTTAAAATGGGTAAGCTACAATCAATCATTCATTGCTCTCCGGACCCTATGATACATAATAATCAGTTTGTAGATTGTAATCAATCTCCTTGGGTAATGCTTTTGATGCTTTTGATTTTAAATTCCCAAAATTTGACACAAAATTCAGAAATTGGGGGTCTCTTTGGTGGCACAAGGGGTTGAGCCACAGATGTATGAAGCTATCTGCAGCCAATGCAGCATGAGTTTGATCCCCAGTCAGGGAGGTGACCCACACGGTGCAGCAGACCTCTCCTGACTTGCCCACTGTTCCCCTCAGCTGTGTACTTCAGTAGACCTGTCTGTTCTGCTTCCCACTCTGAACAAGGTGAATCTTCTCAACCCCTGCATTTCTGGTTTGTACCCCAGTTCTTGTATGCATACATAAATCAATCTTTAAAAAAAATTCAGAAATCTAAAATGTGATTAAAAAATAAGCACGATTTTTTTAACTAAAAGAAAAACTTGTATTTGTAGACATAGTGAAGCCATTCTTCAACTTACATTACTTGCACTGAATTATGTCAGAGGGGGAGTATGATCCTATTGTGAATCATCTGAGTCCCACAGAAGCATGTTTTGTAAGCAGTATCTATTATGCTATTTCTAGGAAAAGCACAATAAATATGAAAGCTAACATTTGCTAGTGAGCTTACTTTCATACATTCCTCACTTGCTGATTTACCACTGCCTTAGTCCATTGGGTCTCCTCTCCCTTCACTCCATCCCCACCACTCGTTTGTAGATTCAATACTACAGTCAGATTTCTAGGGTTTGTTTGAATTAATTTTAATCATTCCATTGTTATTGTTTTTACCTACTATTATTTTTTTCTCTATTACTTTTTCTTCTCTACTTACTTGCAATATGCCAGCACTGTACTAAGCTCTTTCACAGATGTTATTCAATGTTCAGATAAACTAGTGTATTTTACATTATTAGCAAGTAAAAACTGTGATTTAGTTTAAATTACTGGCTCAATGTCAAGCTATGGTAAGTAGTGGAAACAGGATTTGAAGTCAGTTATCCAGATTCTAGAGTTAATGGCCATAAACACTATTGCATAACCACTAAAAGTAAGAGTATGTTTAAGTATAAAGATTTTGTTTAAGAAATGTATGCATTCTTCAGCTTAAAAAGTTTCTTTTTTTTTTAATGTGTGAGTCAAAAAAATAAATAAATAAAACTTTCACTGCTGATTTCAGTTAACCTGTAGCAAGAGTTTGTGGCGGTAAAAATGCTGCACACAAGATGTCATCACGGTGCTGTACGCCTCCTTTCCATTCTTCAGGCTCGATGAAACATTGATTGAAGTTCTGAGGTCGAAATACAGTAATAGCTCTAGTAAAAGAATACAGAACTTAATGGCAGACCCAAAAGTGACAGAGATATTGAATAGCCATCTTCCACTTGGTTGGTGTGATTTGAGACATCTAAAAATCTATACTCCCCTAAATTCTACACCCCATTTCCATCCATATCTTAAACTTCCCTCACTGAACTTCATTTTGTATCCTCATTGAATCTCTCATAATTAATGGATATTTAGTACCAGAAGGTTAATTATCCTTCCACAATCGTTAATAACTAAACATGCATGAATTTATCATACTAATTATCTGTCACCAAGACTCTATGCAAATTTTCCCTATTTGGATACCATGTACTTACTAAGAATTTTATGGCAATAACAAGAGGAGGGTGGGTCTACAAACCAGTAATATTTGGTAGCATAAACAAAATTAATAAGACATTCCTTATCAAAAGCTCCAGGACTTTCAACATGTAAACTCCAAGGAATGCCTGAAGTCCAAGCATAAAAATCACAGAAGCCTGAATGGAAGAGTCAAATAGAGTTGTCATTATCTCTGCACTCCACTCTTATCTTTCAAAATAAAATATGTGTGCTAATCAAATATTGAGTTGGACTATTAGAAGTCAGGGTAATTTTGATACAACTGCCTGTTTACTCAAAGGGAAAATATTTTCATATTCAATTAAAGACACATGAATGAATATAACAGAATGTAAAAATCAATAAAATTACAAAGATACAATACTAAGTTTCAAATAAATTCTTAATTTTCAGGGCCTGATTTGAACTGTTAGGAATTGTCAGAATCTACATTTCCAAAGTACACACTATTCTTTTTTTATAAAAAAGAAAGACTTTATTGCATCATTTGCTACATGAATGGATCTTGATAGCAATTATGCTAAGTAAAATGTCAGCTAAAGGTACACACTGTGTGACTTCACTAATATGTGAGATCTGAGAAAAGAAAACAACACACAAAACTCATAGACATAGAGTATTGATTGGTGGTTGCCAAATGTGGGGGTAGGGAGTGGGTAAAGGTCATCAAAAGGTACAAACCTCCAAAAGAAAGATATTATAGGGAATAATGTACAGCACAGTGACTATAGTTAATGACGCTGCACTGTATGTTTGATAAATGCTAAAAGAGTAGATCGTAGAACTTCTCATCACCAGAAAACAAACGTTGGAATTATGTGGCTAATGGATGTTAACAAGACCTACTGTGATTATTTTGTAATAAATGTAAATATCAAATCATCATTCTGACGCCTACAAATTCATATAATGCTATGTGTCGATTATATCTTCTTTCCTCTTTACTTATTTTATATATCTATTTATATTATTGTTCATTTTACAATAGATACCACATGGAAAGGGGACAGAGAGGGATCCAAAGGAGGGAAGGAGGGGGCTATCGTGATGATGGGAAGAGGGAAGTAAATATTGTTGTAAAATGAACAATAATGTAAACAGATATATAAAATAAATAAAAAAGGAGAAAAAGTACATACTTATATTTAAATTAAACATTTTTTTTTTTTTTACTCTCTAAGCAAACATCCTTCATGCTTCTAGCTGCTTTATTTTCACTCATGATGTGCTTATTCCTCCTCTATGGATTTCGCTTCATACAAAGACCTACTTCTACACACCAATTCTCTAAGGCCCACCTTGTTCTTCCTTAGCAATAATTAGAAGAAATATTTCCCACTATGATCTTTTTACAATTAACATTTACACATTTTTTACAATTAACATTTAATGAATATTATAGAGCAACTGCCACATTGTAAGTTCTACATTAAGAATTATAAATTATAAATTATAAATTAGGGATTTCATCTTATTCTGCAACCCCACAGTATTAATAGTGACCTAAACACCTTGAGTGTTCAAGCAAATGAAGTAAATGAATAAAAATTTCATCAACTGCTACTTTTACAGGTAAATTTTCCTTGGTCACCTTATCTGAACAATTTCCCTTGAGCTGGTCTCTCATCCTTTATTACATTTATCATGTGAAATTGTGATGTTTATTTTCTGTGTCTCCTACCATAAATAAGCTTTAAGCGAGTAGAATCTTTTCCTTTTCTATACAAGTACTACTTAGCATAGTGCCCACCAGAGTCATTTAATAGATATTTGTTGAATCAGTATATTATTCTATTTTAAAAAACAAGTTTAATATTAATGTTTTAATAATACTAATGAAGCTTAGCAATATAAAATAAGACAGTTCTGAAATTGCTATGAATATATAATAGTTTTATATGTATGTTTTTAGTTTCCTCTTTATAAGTAATTTTGGTTGCAGACATAATATTTAGGAATGGAGACTGTGGAGAAGGAGTGAGAAAAATGTTGATCTTATATCTCTTCTATAATCTCTCAAACAAAACCTAATGTCAATTTTTTTTTTTTTGGCTAAGGTAACCATATTAATTCAATATATTTAAGGAGTACAACCCAACAACACACAATGTTCTTCATAAGCTGGAGTAAAAATTAACCTTTCTGATACTTGACCTTGTGTGTCATGTTGAGAAATCAATTATCTGCCACCCTTACCTTTAAAACCTTAGCTGAAACTTTCATTTGAAATGACAGTTATTCTTAAAGTACTTTCAGAATCTACACTGTATTTCCTACTTTTTTGTTTCAAAAGTAAGTGTATTTTTTTTTAAGTTTGTACTTTTGCCAAGAGTAAAATTAAAGGCAGAATTAGCCAATTTTAAGGCCACTTTAGGAGTCTGAGATACTTATTCTTTGTGACATTGAAGGAGTTTACTGGTTCAATTCCTCACATTTAAAATCCTGAGAGTACTAGTATACAGTCACTGTGTCATCTTATGAAAGTGATCATAATTCTAATTCAGAATTAAAGTTAAGGACCAATTCAGTGAGAACAAAATGAGTTTACAGCACAAGGATAAATAAATAAATAAATATTCTATGTTAGAATGAATGAGTAAGGTCAATAACATTTACTAAAACTTACCCTCTAGGGGTTGTCACAGAGAGAACACAAGTATACAGTCAACTATTTGTTTCCTTGGAGGCTAATTATATTTGTGATTTTATTTCAGTTATCATAAGAGCCTCTCCTTTGTTCAAATGCTTTTGTGACTTAAAAGAGATAATTCAAAGGCAGAGAATGAGTTCAATATAAGTCAATTTATTTTCATTATGTTTCCTCGAATTTGCAAAGTCAAATTTTAGACACTAGAGCCATAACAAAACTAGATTTGTGGATTTTGAACAGAATGGAAACTCTCCTGATATCTAAACAGGTTATTTAAAATCAATCAAAACTTTTGAATTTTCATTCTCACCCTCATTCTCATAGTAGAGATAAGTTAATTTGTACAAAACAATAATTATTTGTAAGACAATTATTAATTTAATATCTTGCAAAAAAGAAAACAAGCAATGCAATCAAAAATGGTCAGAAAAATTAATTAGGCACTTTCCTAAAGAATGCATGCAAATTGTTATCAAGTGTATAAAAATGTTCATTATCACTTATGATCGGGAAATGCAAATAAAATTAAAAATAAGATATCATCACAGACTTGTAATAATGGTCCACATCAAAATCAAACACAAAATCAAGAGAAAACAGAATAAATAAGTGGTGATGGGGGTGTCGTAAAAAAAAAAAAAAAAACTTTAGCATAAAGTGGTAGGAGGGTAGACTGATCCATCACCTATGGAAAGAAGTGTGGAGATTTTTCAAAAAATTGTAAAATTATGTCTACCATAGGACCCAGTCATTACTCCTAGGTAATATACATTACTCCTAGGTAATTTCCAAAAAGCACAAAAGCATTAATATGAAAGGAAACCCATAATATTTTGTTTATAGGAGAACTATTTACAATAGCTAAGGTATGGAAACCACCTAACTGCTTCAGAACAGCTGAGTGGATCAAAAAGAGGCAGTATATATACACAGTAGAATACTACTCAGCTATCAAAACATAAATAAATAAACTCATGCCATTTGCAGCAACATGGATAGTAATGGAAGGCATTATTCTAAGTAAAGTGAGCCAGAAGGAGAAAGAAAATATCAAATTATTTCATTTACAGCCCTCCCTGGTGGCGCAGCCGGTTAAAGCACTACACTGAGAAGCTAAAGCCACTTCCGCATGAGTTCCATCACCACCTGCCCCGGAGGTGACCACATGACGTGGCAGACCTCTCCTGACCCGCCCGCTGCTCCCCTCAGCAGTGTACTTTGTTGATCTGCCTGTTCTGTTCCCCGCTCTGTCTCTGGTGAATCCTCTCACCCTCCGCATCTCTGGCCTGTACCCCAGTTCTGTATGCACAAATAAATAAATCTTTAAAAAAAATTATTTCATTTACATGTGGAATCTAGAGAAGCCAAAGGACACACTGTAAGACTGACTCTTACAAGCAGACCATAGATGTGAAACTTTCAGAAAAGGAGCGGGGTGAAGGAGAGGAGAGGAAGAAGAAAAAAAAGGGGTTGGGAGCCACAATGGGAGAGGGTGGAAGATTATGCATCAGTGGTGAGAAAATTAGGGTGAACCCACCTGAGAGGAGTAATTCTATATTGTAAAAAGATAAACAAATGGTTTTTTTAAAAAGTATTCTTTAGTAACAAAACCGTACAAACCTTATCCAGTGCAATTAGGGTGTGTTACTTCTAATACCAAATAAAGTCAAATACATAGGGAAGAAAATAATTTACTACCTTCAATACATATATTTTACTTTGACCAAGTTCAAATCCCTGATTTCACTTCATGTAATTATACTTTTAGAAATTAAATTATATCAACAGGTAATTTACTAAGAAGCTATGTTTTATAACCCTGTGAAAGATGTTGCTATCAGTAATTTTTTTATAGATATTTGCAATTTTATGAGAGGTGCTCTTTTTAGTATTTGTCTAGGTCTGTATTTTACAGGTAAAGCCTTCATAAACAGAGATTTCTCCTTTACAGAAAATGTAAAAATAAACTGGAGAAAACTAAAGCCTTGGGTCTATTTTTATAAAGTTATGTTTTGACTTATACAACTTTAAAGCATGATAAAATCTTAAGCAATTATAAGTATTTATTTGATTTTAACATAGCTGTGTATATCACAATCCTAATTGATCATCTATTTAATTACACCAGAGTAAATATCGTATGTGCCTAAGTATTTTTTTATATTATAATAGTTTATTTTTACATCATTTTGTGCCTTTTTCCATCTCAGCTGCAATCCCCATAGGTGACTAAGTATTTTTTAATTGATTGCAATTCAATTCACTGTCTTTAATTTTTTTTGCTTAAAATGATGAAAAATATTTCTGTAGAATCCTGAAAAAATTATTGTCAAGATCTAGTTGACCATATTTCTAAATACAGAAATGAGAGCACTAATCCAGGGTTTGCTTAGGAACACTGCTCAGATCGTGCCTTCTAGCTGTTAGCTCCCCAATTAGATTGTGTAGCCTGGAGAGTGAGAATCACATTCAAGGCTTCTTCACATTCAGTTCACCACATTTCCTAACAAATGCTTTCCACCTACAAGCAAATATAAAATATTTGTTGTAAGGCAAGGAGCTAATGGTAAGCAAATTTTGAATGAATAATATATGTTTTTTTTTCTTCCTTCTTCAAGTGCACAAAAATGGTTCATTAGCTTGCTTGATTCAATTAACCAATTAAATGACTTTAAAAGAACACAGTTGTTCTCTCATGATTTAATGACTTCCCTTGTAACACAGGACGAGTATAAAAACATTCACTTTGGCACAGGATTGAATTCACCTTCCTATTAACTTTGTAATGATGGTCCAGATACCCTACCTCTTCAAGTGTCATTTTTCCCTTGTAAAAAGAATTGACATGCTATGGACTCTACACCTGAGGGGAGAAAAAAAGTACATATTTTTAAAAATGAACAATGATGTAAAATATATAATAAATTATTTAATTTAATAAAATAAAAAAGGGTGGACAATAATTTAATTTCTTGTTTATTATGAAAAGATAATAGAATTGATTCATAATTGTTATCATGAATAATTAGAATTTTTCACATTTTCAGCTTCCCTGTCTTTTCAATAAGTAGTAAGTTATTCAACCAATGCCATTGAACAACTAAAAAGCACATGCTTATAATAAACACACACATATATGTACATGTTTATTAAATAAGTAAAGTGCAAAAAGTTAGAGAGCACAAAGAGGGATTTTAGTTCAATCCTAGTAATTAAGAGAAATGTCCTGGTGGAGAAAAAATATGAATAGGAAATGAAATAGTTAGCAATAAGTGTTAGCTACATAAAAAGTATTTGGAATAGAATATCTGCATGAGGGGGGAGAATAAAGACATGGAGGTATGAGATAGTCAGATGTAGATGTTTATGGAAACAACCTGACAGCAGATTGTTATTTGAGACTGGAATGTACACAAGAATGGGTGACTTGAGACTAAACATAGATTCAGACAAGAAGGAAGTTAGATTTATTTGTAGACTCTCTGAAGGTGTTAAACAATTAAGTGGCATAGATGTAGAATCTATTAAAGAGCAACATTACCAGAAGACTGGACAAAGTAGAAGCTATGACATTAACCCAAGTAGAAACAGAACTCTGAATATACAGTTGCAGTAGAATCGGGAACAGGTTTGAGAAATGTTTAGAATATAAAGTAAATACTTGACACTGTATTAATTGCAGCTCTGAAACTTAGAGAAGCATGCATGGGTAAGAGGAATGAACAATGTATTCAGTATAGAATGTTTTGAATTTGGGATTGTGATCCGACACATTCCCAGCAAGCAAATGCGTAAGTGAATTTAGAGAGCTTAGAGCAGAATATAGAAATCTGAAGTATCCACAGAATATCGCCTACCTTCCAAAATAAAGTTAAGGAGTAAGTTAAAACCCTCTGGTTTTTGTTTGTTTGTTTGTTTTTTAAGAAAGTTTAACATACTATCAATTTTCCAGTTATTTTTCCCTCTCTAAATACTAAACTATTGAAGAGCTGTCTTAGTGAACCAAACATAACCAGCGTTGACAAGTTTTCTGACTTTTTATTTTATATATAATTTATGTCATTATTCTTGTTTGTACAATGTATTCTTTCTCCTCTCATGTGTAATCCCTGCAAAATTCCCACCACCACTTCTCCTCTGCACCATCAATCTAGACCCTTGTGCTCTCTCCCAACCGCGCGTTGATCCCTCTTCCACCCCTCCCCTGCAAAATGTCTGATTATAGTTGCTTGTTTATTTTATTTTAATTTTTATAATAATTTCCCCTTAATAGTGTGTTTATATATAATTAAACATTGCTACTTTTATAATTTTAAAAATTATAAATTATAAAAATGATTGATTTTATCATTTACATTATTAAATACGGTATTTATAATTATTATTTCTACTACATTCCTTCTATAAGTGAAACCATCCAATAATATTCTTTTTTCTTTCTGTTTATTTTGGTGAGCAAAACCCCTTTCCAGCTCCATCCATATTGCTGCAAATGGCATGTTACTTCTTTCATAAATACTAATTGGTAAAATGGACACTGCAGAGATCCCACTTAAATACTAGCATAAGATTTCTGACTAAGGAAATATAATTCTTAAATGTTCTAATACAAAAGTGATATAAGATCATTGGAATGTATAGATGAAGCTTTCAGTGTCCAATTAAGGATCCAGGTCTTGACAATCTTGTGGGGATGGGAGTGTGGAGGGAGATGGGAAGAAGCCTAACTTTTACTTCTCCCATTTGAGTCATCCCAGAGTTTCCTCCCTATGAGAGAAAGTGACCATCCATCAGTTAGAACAGAATATCAGGTGTTCATTTGACCCACTTTTAGATGACTCTGTAAATTTAATCATTAAAAACTTTTCCCAATAAGTTAAAAAAAATCATTAAAATTCCTAACTATAAATAGCTAAAATATATAGCTAAGAAAGTAATATATCCAAGCTTTTACTTATACTGACTATATATATTTTTCATTGTTGTTATGCTTGAAATTTAAGTTAGGTTGGCTTGGCTATATACCCACACATCTAACCTGTTATGATATTAGAGAATTAAACATATTCATTGCCACAGGCTAATTATAGAAATGATTAAGAGCTAGTGTATTGGAGTGGATCATGATTGCTCCCAGGGATGCAAAGAAATCTTGTCATTCAAAGGTAATGATGATTGAATTCATTCTTACTGTCAAGTACAGTAGTTTTTGGTTTTTGTTTTATTTATTTTTTACTTATAGTCCCAAGTACTCCTGAAAATTAAGTTCTGTGTGGCACTAAATTTTTTAGTCTGTATGTACATATTAATGTAAGAAAAAAAGATTGCATGATTAATAAAAATATCCAGATATATACTGCTAAGTTTCTAAGTAGAAAATCTGATTTAATCCTAGCTTCAAACCATTAATATCTTTATTCTATAGTAAATAACAATCGGCAAATCATTTTCAGCTCTTGAATTTATTAACACTATATTAAAAAATCACACTTTAATTGTCCTAGGTTTGATACAGTGCATGTTTATGACCCCTTACTCCTATCATGAAAAATAGAAAATGAAAAGAAGGAAGGAAGGGGGAGGGGGGAAGGAAGGCAAACAAAGTAGCTTTCCTTATAATGAAATAAAATAATTTTTTTTTATTTTGTTCTCAGTTCACTCCTGAGAACAATGAGTGGACTGCGAAAGGCCCATTTCTGTACTGATATGAAGGAAGTACTAACACAAAATTCAGTGGGCTATTTCTCTCTTGTGCAGTAATTTAAAATAATAGGAGCAGAAGTATGCTTCTTTTACTGTTGAAGGTAGGGGATTCACACAGTAAGAATTAATTAACTATAAGATTTAGGAAGTTTTTGGAGTCAATACTCAGGAAAACACATTATGTGTTTGTCTGGAATTGTTAAAGAAAAAGTGCTTCCCAAAGTCAGGAGTAAGCTCCATAATATTTGCAAAAGCCACTCAGGCTGCAAGATTTTATCATATTGATAATTTATTCACTAAGCATTCAGTTACAAAGACACTCACCTTGGTTACCAATGAGTTAATCACACAGAATCAGTTAAGATTTCTATGTTTATTTTTCCTTTAGATTTCAATTCAAATAAAAACATTTCTCTTTTATCTTCCTCTGCTTTTGCATGAATGTATCATACCTCTCCCAGCCTGTAACCAATATTGTCTTCTTAAGAACCAGGATCTGTAAAATATCCACAACTCCCTCTTGCCCAACATTTAGAGTGTGGTGACAATATCCATTGAAGTCCCATACCTTTAAAAGAAAAATTACATTTGCCTTTAAGACCGTGGAAATTGTCTTCTTAAACTAAGTAGAACAACATTTGTGTAATAGGATTATTTTAAACTTTTTTGTTTACATTCTGAGCTAAGTTGATTCACTTAAGACCTAAAATGATTAAAGAAAATCCTCTCCCCACTTAAATTTAGTCACATAATCATCAATTTATAATCCTATCTGACTACTCTAATAATAGGTGATTCAAAGTCTATAAATTAATGTATGTTTTAAAGGGGTATATAGTAGAAACATCAGGAAGAGCCATATTTTAAATTCTGTCAAGATCCTGCCTCTTTCTTTAAGCATGCCTCTAAATTTTGATGGTCTTCTTTTAACAGATGATGTGTAATGCTCTTGGATGTCTGGAGGAATAAATATCTGAAACATGGTCATCATATAAAAGCATGCCTCATTAGTTGCATTTTACTTCACTGAATTTTGCCTATATTGCATTTTTTTTTTACAAATACTGGATTTGTGTCCAGTAACTATAATGACTCTAATTTTCCAATAGCAGATGCTTACTTTGTTTCCCTGCATCATATTTTGCAATTTATCACAATAGTTCCATTTTTTTCACTATTATTATGTCTGTTAAGATGATGTTTGATCATTCTTATTGGTGTTACTATTGTAATAGTTTTGGAACACCATGAACTGTGTCCAAAGAAGACAATGAACTTAATCACCAAGTGTCTCTCTCTCCATCTTCTATTCTCCAAAACACAGTAGTATTAAAATTTGGTCAATTAGCAACCCTACAATTATCTTTAAGTTTTCTAGTGAAAGGAAGAGTAACATGATTCCCATTTGAAATAAAAAGTGTAGAAATAATTAAGCTTATCAAGGAAAGCATGTTGACAATAAGATAAGTAGCAAACTAGGTCTCTTGAGTCAGCTAGCCAACTTGCAAATGTAAAAAAAAAAAAGTTCTTGAAGGAAATTAAATGTGATCCTGCAGTGAACACAATAATTACAAAAAAGCGAAATAGTCTGATTGCTGATATGATCATTGTTTGAGTGGTCTGGAGAAGATCAACTTGACACAGCTTTCTTTTAAACTAAAATCTAATCCAGGGCAATATAATAACTCTCTTTAATTCTGTAAAGTCTTGCAGTGGTAGGAAAGCTATGGAATAAAAGTTTGAAGCTAACAGATTCATGAGGAAAGAATTTGTCTCCATAACATAAAAGTGAAAGCCAAAGCAATGCTAATATAGATATTACAAGTTACCCAGGAGGACTAGCTAAGATAATTGCTGAAAGTGCTACATTAAACAATAGATTATTTTAATATAGACAAAACAGATTTAAAATGTAAGGTGTCATCCTTGTACCACCATGTTTATTGCTGCTCTATTTACAGTACCAAACACATGGAATCAACCCAATGCCCAAAGTAGATGACTGGATTAAAAAGATGTGGTACAAATACACAATGGAATATTACTCACTGATCAAAAAGACAAACACATGTCTTTTGCATGAACATGGATGGAGCTGGAAGGAATCATGCTTAGTAAAATAAGCCAGAAAGAAAAATACTGAATGGTTTCACTTATAGCAGGGGCATAAAGGACCAGGGGAAATAAATAATAATTAACAACTATATATCAGAGACATTTTATGTGGGTGTAGTGGGGAATGGGATCAAAAATGGAGGTGGGGGGTGATGTGAGTGCACAGGACTATGGTGATGGCACATGGGTGAACTGGTGATGGGAAGTCCATGGAGATTTTAACTGAGATGGAAAAAGGCAAAAAATGATGTAAAAATAAACTAGTATAATAATAAAAAATTTAAAGTGTCATCTAGAAATTTCATAGTTAGAAGGAAATAAATAATTGGTTTCAGTGCTTCAAAGTGAAGGCCGACTCTTATTGGGGGTTTTGGTAGTGATGACTTTCAGTTGAAGCCACTGTTTATTTAACTGAAAATCCCAGGACCCTTAAGAATTATGTTATAGCTACTCTGTCTGTAATCTATAAATGGAATGAGAAAGCCTGACTGACAACATATCTGTTTACCACATGGTTTACTAAATACAGAAGATTACTCAGAAAAAGAAGATTACTCCTTATTGACAATGTACCTGGTTACCCAAAAGTTCTGATGGAGATATACATAAAATCAATGCTGTATTTATGAACGCTAAAATAATATCTAATCAGCAACCCAGATATTAAGAAATAACATTAAAAAATACCTATTAAGAAACATTTTGTAGGGCTGTAGCTGCCAGTGGAAGTGATTCTTCTGATGGATCTGATCAAAGTCATTTTAAAATCTTCTAGAAAAGTATATCCATTCTAGATACTAAGAATTTCTGTGATTATGGTGCCCTGCTTGGTGGGTTAACAGGTTAAAGTACAGCACTGTGAAGCTGTCCATAGCCACTGTAGCACAGGTTCGGTCCCTGGCCAGGTGACCCACACCGTGTGACAGACCTCTCCTGACCAGCCTGCTGTGCCCTTCAGCAGTGCATTTCATTGGCTCTTTCTGTTCTTCTCCCCTCTGTGTCGCTGGTGAATCCTTTCACCAGCCCCCCTCCCCAAAACACACACACCTTTGCCTTGTACCTCAGGTTTTATATGCATAAATAAATAAATCTTAAAAATTATCTTTGTGATTATGAAAGTTCAAAATATATAAACAATAACAAGAGTTTGAAAGTAGTTCCAACCCTCAGGGGTAATTTAGAGGGATTCAAGACTTCAATGAATGAAATAACTGTATATATGGTAGAAATGGGAAGATAGCCATAGTTAGAAGTGGTGTTTGAAGATATGATTGAATTGCTGTAATCTCACAATAAACTTTGATGGAGGGGACTTGTTTCATACAGATGAGCAAAGAAAGTTATTTATTGGGATGGAATATATTTGGGTGAAGGTAATATAAACTAATTGTTGAAATGATAAAATAATAAGAATATTGCATAAACATTTTTTTTTACTTTTCACAAGAATGGAATATTTTTTTAATTTATGTTTTGAATGCATTTGTTTACTTTTTTAAAACATAAGATTCCCACACTCAGGTGCAGTTAATAATTTTCCCACACCAAAGTGCCCACAATCTTCCACCAAAACCCACAGTGCTCTCCTCACCCTCTCCCCACCCTTGTTCTTTTCTCTCCTTCCATCTCCTCCCCTCCGTGCGTCTTATTTAGATCACAAGGGTCAGTCCTTAAAGTTTGTCTTTGATCTTTCATTTGATGTATCTACTTTCCACATAAAAATGAAACCATTCAGTACTTATTTTTCTTCTTCTGGCTGACTTTGCCTATGCAGAAATCCGAAGAGCACAAAAACACTGATTCAAAAGGAATCCTGCACTCCTGTGTTTATTGCACAACTATTTACAATAGCCAGCATATGAAACCACCATATACAACCACAAATATCTGAATGAATCAAGATGATGTAATACATATACTGTGGAATACTACTTAGCTATCAAAAAAATAACTCAAGCCATTTGTGGAAGCACAGATGGACCTGGAAAATTTATTCTAATGCAGAAACTTAATTGATAAAAATGGTTTGAAGGGACTGACTCCAGTTCTGAAAGAAGTTATAATATGACTATAATCTATCAAACAACAAGTTACTGGAAAATATTTCAGAAATTCAGAGTCCATCAATGTGGCAAACTTCACAGTTGTCTTATTTTAGGAAATTGTTACAGCCATTCCAAAGCAGCAACTACAACTCTTTTCAAGTAAATAGCCATCGGATTCAAGGTAAGGCACTCCATCAGCAAAAAAAATTATGACTTACTCAGAGTTAAGATAATGGTTAACATTTTTAACAATAAAATATTATTTAATTAAGGTATGTACACTTTTATACATTTGATAAACTACAATATAATGCAAACAACTTTTATATGCATGAGCAAACCAAAAATTCTTGTAATAAATTTTACTGAAATGTTTCCTTTATTGCCTTGATCTAGAACCAAACCCAAAGTATTTTTGAGGCATCCTGTACTGGATATTACATTTTTAACCAATAAAATAGCCTATTGATAGTGGATGACAGCTTCTATCTACTCTATAAGCTCATTTAGCTATAGCTCATTTAGCTATATATATATATATATATTTTTTTTTTTTCTCAGAGACTCGAGTGAAGGCCTTTGCCTGATGGGTATACTTAGAGAGAGAACATTAGGCCACCAGTAGTTAACACTAAGTTCTACTATGAAACATTATGTGTGTATCATATACAAAGGGAAAGTTGGCACTGTCTATTTGAATTGAAATCCATTAACTGTTTGACTCAAAAGTTCAACTTTTAGAAAGTATCACATGGAGATGCTTATAAATGAGAAATGACATATTTTGAAAAATAACCCTGAAACAAAAACTAAAGCATTTTAATCAATCTAATTGGTCATTAAAAGGCACTGAATACCAGAATATGGAATATTTATGCAGCAGCATATCATGTGGGCATTAACAAGAATGAGTCATCGCATTAAATAAACTCTGACAAACATGTACCAGCTATACATGGTTGAAAACTTGTACACATGCTAAGAAAACTCAAGCAAGTTGCATTATCTCCTTGGGTTTCGTATTCCATTCTTGTAAAACTGGGATAACAATAGTACCAACTACCTAGATGAGCATGTATGGGTAGAGAGATGAGGATGGTGTGAGGGAGATGTGTGTAAAATACTTAGAAAATTCCTGGTAAGTGTACAGTGAAAGTTAGATAAATGTTATTATTAATATTTGCATTCATAACAATGTCTAAAAAGAAAAATGTAAAATGCAGAAAAGCATGTGCAGTGAACTGACTGAAAAACAATACACTTGGACTGACAGGATGCAAAAGAAATCAGTAACAGTTACAACCCCAAGGGAGAAACTGGGGACAGAAATAAGAAACAGACATTCTTCTCACTCTTTTTTTTACATCTTTTTTACATTCCAAATTGTATGGTATTCAAGCATTAAATATTTAAAACATTAAGTGCTTTTAAAACAAACACTACAAAATCATGATAAATAGAGCAATACTTTTAAGTCTTTGATTATATAAGTAACAGTTTGAGATTATAAATATAGATGCTATTGGAAAATATCTTTGTGCTTGCTTCTTAATCGAATATGGACAGAGCAGCTCAACCTTGATTTATGCATCTTATACTGAAGTTGCCAAATTTCAAAATCCTATTTTGACAAAGATAAATGTGCCTTCAAAAACTGTGAGTATACTAGTAAATTCACGTTAACTTTAACACATCAAGGTTTGAGCTAAGATGTTGAAAAGTATAGATTGATTCTCTTTAACTATATCACTTAGATATTCTGTACATGGGTCTTACCATGCTCCCCTAAAGGATGCCCACAGATATGTTTTGTAAAGATCTAAGTGTTCCCAAATCTTTAAAATTTCCTTGGTAAAACTAACAAGTGTATCTCACCCTCTATAACCACTCCCCAAGTTTTATTATTTAATTCAGTCTAATACCTGAATATTGGTAACTGGAATACTCATGTGTCATTTTTTGCCTGAGATACTGTATATTACTTTAGTTCCAGTTACTCATATTTTATTCTACTCTGTTTTGGAGATTGGAATTGCCCCATTACCTTTATATAACTTTGCAGGTTTCCCATCAACTAGGCTGAAACACAAGCTTAAAGTCTAGACCCCTTACAATTAATTAACCTTGCCAATCATCTTCTATGGATTTGCAGAGATTCTCCCTGTAACCTGCAATTGCCATTCTGGAATTTTCCTGAATAATTGCCCTTCATTTCCATAACTTTCTAGCTACATATCCAGAGAACTTTCTATTACCATCCCTGCAGCCTCCTTGAATGTATCACATGCCTGCATAACCTAATGCATAACCTCTGGAACTATTTATGACAAAACTCTGAGAACCAGTCAAATTTTGAGTAGAGAATTCCCTTCTGTTGCCTCAAGGTATTTATTATTAGCCATAGAGGCACCTCATTACTTTTGGAGTCCAGGGAAGCCCAGAAGATTCACTGATAGATATGATTTCAGGTAGCAAATAGTTTGTTTTGTATAAAAATTTGGTCATTTTTGAAAACTAAAATGTTACCTTCCTCCCAAATTAAATTAGTAATAGCTACAAAGTAATACATCTAGAAGCATAGAATAGTGTTACTTTAGGAAGGGTAATGAATCAGATTGTTTTCCTACTACCCTTCATGATTTCACGTAAACTTACATAAAAGTACATATCAGAAAATGAGTTGATTTTACAATTGATTCATTTTCCAAAATTTGTACATCTATGAAATCTTTAAAAGTTTTCTAGCTGCACTGATTTTTAATTGTATTAACTGAAAGAATAAATAAATAAAAGACTAGATGCATTAGCTGAAGCATGTGAGAATTATTCAGGACTCATTCCCTAAAGTGCTCCTCTAACCAGAACACTGAAAAAGACTTTCTGAAATAAGTAAGCCAAGTTATTCTTATCTTGAATAATTTATTTAGAAATATAAGTTATTCATTTCCCACAGAGATTTATATTCCTAACAACTTTGTTTTTAGTTGGATGGGTCATTTATTTCTTCTTATATTTTCTCATCTTCTTGTAAAACCAAAAAGGCAAAAACAAATATAGTTACTGTGCCTTATTTCCCAACATAGCCCTCATAACTGGATAGAAAAGCATCACCACGTTCACACCTTTACAGTTCCATCTGTGCTGCCAGTCAAAAGCCTTGTTTCATTTGCATCAAGGGCCATCGTGCTGATTTCTGCGTTGCCGTGGCAACCAGTAAACTGTTTAATTTTCTGCCCAGTGTCTATCATCCAGAAGGTAACGGTTGACCCTGCGTCAGAACTGATCACCTAAGAGAAAATAACACTGGAGAGAAATTATATAGTCCCAGAAGCAAACACTTTTATTTTAATACATAAAATATCTAGCTTGTGTTTCCACCACTGAGATTCCTCAGCAACTAGAGACATTTTTGCAATGTGTTTTCTTTTTGTTAAGCTAATAACATTTCAGTTTTGAGCCAAAAACTGAAGTAAATCAAGTCGCAATTCTCTTTATCATACAAGAGAGAAATCTTCTTTCCTTACCCTCCACTCACCTCAGTGTCTAGAGGTCATTCTTAAAATATATCCAATGGAAAATAAATTCATAAGTCTGGCATTTAGATGAAAAAATTGATTTTATTAGTCATCGTATTCCAACACTATTTTCTATATGAAAAGAAACATTTTATTATATCCCAGCTTTCATTTAGCATTCAGAGAGGAATGTACTTGTAGCCTTTATAAACAATTAATTTCAGTAATTTGTTAGAGCTATCACATTTAATGTCACTAATCCCTTTCTTTGGTGTTTCTTATGTAACTGTGTATACTTCTATAGCTAAAACAATTGTTGATGTTTGTTGAACACAGGAAGCTTATGTTAATTGGCATATACACATAGGGATGAAGGCAGTAAGATGAAATTAAAATATATATGGAAGGAAATAATATATATTGTAGTCCAACAGTGAAAAATTTCATAGGAAAAAAATTGACTGCTAACTTAAATCCTAGGTTTTAGCAGCCTTGAAGATATTTATCAACTAAAACCACTCCACTAGTAAGATTTTGGGGCCTAAAGGAATGAAAAGAAAACACTAAATATACAGAAATGCAGATAAAAAGTTACCTGAAGCTATTCAGAGTCTGAAAAACTTAAAGCAGGTCTTTATCTGTTCAGGTATTTATTAACGTTTTATAAATGAAAAATTATAAAGAACATTAACATGTAACATCAGTGTCACATTTTCATAGTCAAATGGGTTAAAGTTGACCAAATGTGTGTTCAGATGGCTGGGAAGGCTGGATGTCATACATCTAGACATTCATTCATTCATTCATTCATCCGTCTCCACCCACTGACATCTATCTACCCGATGCCTAAAACCATGGTGACAGATGGACTTCAGTATTAAATAACTTCCCTCAAGGAGTCCATAAGGTAGTCTTATATATTAAAATTATCTGTAGAACTTAAAAAAAAAAAATACTACTTCATACCAGTCTGAAGACTCACACAAGCTATTTAAAATGGCACATAGTGAATTGGTGTTGGGACGCCCCCAGGGATTATAACCAAGATTAAAAAAAAATGTACAAAATGAAGAATGATGTAAAAACACATACTTAAAAAAGAAAAATAAATATGGGCTTGGGTTAAGACTACTGATTTAAATGGAAACATAGACAGAACATAAATAGATGCCAACAGTGTTACATGTTTAGCTCAATCACCCCTGGGTGCTGGGGGTAGAGAGGAGAATCCAAAATCCATCTCACTGGGGTTGGAGATATGAAGAAAAAGGGAAAGAGATCCAATCTGGTATTGAATGTAGGAACATATAGTTTGTGAGTACCATTCTCCTTACACTTTCTGTATTGTTTAATCTTTATAAAAGCTCTATAAAGTGTTACCACATTCATTTTACTAGTGATATAAAATTGAAATGCTAATTAGCTAGGTACTGTCCCCAGATTAACATAATGAGGCTTGAAACCTGGGTTGTCTTTGATAGACACATCATAAGCTTTCCTTTATTCAAGCATAGTATCTCCGATAATTAAAGTGTGCTTAAGAGAAAACTTGACGAATATTTTAAGCACAAGAAACAATAAGATATTTAATGGAGCCAGAGTACAGAATGTTTTGATAGTACGGATGGTGAAATATCAGGTGAGGAAGCAAGCTGATGAGATATTTTAAATCGCTGAGGAGCAATGCTGGAGTTCTGTGAGTAATATGCTAAAGTTCTTTTTACTGGGAAAAGGCCCATAACACCTTTTGGGTTGTCAGGAGACCACATTTTTGACTAAAAATAAAATTAAGAACAATCTCATAGTGGTGTTTGTTGTTTGATTTGTGATGATACCTCTGGCAGCACTGTGGAGGATAAAACAGTTGTAGGAAGGATTTGAAGGCCACTGATATCGTCAGGTCAGAGATGTTCACCTAAATAAGCAGTTGCAGAGATAATACAGAGAGAGGGAAAAGTGCCACAAACAGGCAAGATGACTCAGCATGGAAATGATTGTAGATTTTATCGCCTTATATTAGAACTTTTAATTAGGTAACTTCTTAATAACGTAAAACTATGTCTATATTTGTGACATACTTTCTATTTTTTTTATTTTTATTTTTATTGTTTTGATTTTTAAAAAACAGGTATATTAGGAAAAGGAGAAAGAAAAACAAATACCCTGAACAACCACAGGTTATCAGGGAGCTGCTTCTGCTGCTGCTTTGCAAAAGGAAAAGATTTGTGAAAATACTGCTATACATTCTCTCAGTAAAATAAAAATAACATGTATTGAATTACTGTTGTTATATGATATTATAATTTCTAGAACCTGATCTTTGATATAATGTGATATAACAATGTAATTATCTTTCCATGTAACTGATAAATTCTATTTGTATTTGAATATGCACTGTGTATGGTGGTTAAGAGCATTTGGTGTAGAAACAGGAAACCTGAATGCTATTATGTGGTCTTGAAATATTATTTAACTACTCTAAGCTTCAGTTTTACCACCTGTCATCTAGAGAGAATTATAGTAACTACCTTGAATCACTTTTAAGAGTTTAAAAATTACTAATATTTGGAAAGCATTTAGCATAGTGCACATAATAAATAAATAAGATGAACATTAGTTATTTCATTATTTTCCTGAAGTGTTACTAGTCTGACCTCTTTCTTGAGCTCACACCACTCTGAATAGCACCACCACATTTTAACCAGTGAGCTAACCTGGCTCCTTCATATTGTTTTTAATATCCAAATCATTATAAGAGAAATGCTAATGATCTTGGTTTCTTCCAAATGTGAGAATGAATGTAGACAATTACAGTTATAGAAACTAGATTTTTAGATACACACTGAAATTTGATATTATGGCATACTTGTGAATGTCTCACATAATAGCTTAATAATTTGAAATGTACTCATTAAGGACACAGTTATGAAAACATATAATTTTCATGCATGAATGAAAGTTTTGATAATGTTCTTTGAATCACAGTTAAAATGTTGTAAAGGATTTTATTGTTTTTATTAAAAACACATTTTGGTAGGGATTTATGGATGCTTTAGTGGTAGATGTAGTAGTAGTGTGGTAACATATATCTGAGTATTTCTGAAAATACACAATTTGTAAACCAATGTTACCTTAATAGAAAAATTAAATATTTTTAAAAAATATTTATTGAGGGGCCCTCCCTGGTGGCGCAGTGGGTTAAAACACAGCACTAAGAATCTAAAGCTGCTTCCGTATGAGTTCAATTCCCGCTTGCCCCGGAGGTGACCACATGGTGTGGCAGACCTCTCCTGACCCACCCACTGCTCCCCTCAGCAGTGTACTTTGTTGATCTGCCTGTTCTGTTCCCCGCTCTGTCTCTGATGAAGCCTCTCACCGCCCCTGAGCCTCTGGCCTGTACCCCAGTTCTGTATGCACAAATAAATAAATCTTTAAAAAAAATTTTTTAACATTCATTTTATACTAAATTTATTGAACATTTATTTTATACTAAATATAACAATACTAAAATATGAGTATTCCCTAATAGAAACAATGGGGGAAAAAAATCTGTATTCAAAGCTGTCCTGATATCACCCACATTACAAAGTATCTGTTTCTCCATGTACTTCTATGTAGCATAGACATTCAATCAAGTATTAGTAACTGCCATGTTTTGCTGCTTTGCTGTCTCCTTCCTCTGCTCACCACACCATTCATCAGTTTTTAGCACCTATCTCTGACTATTTAACATTTTCTCATGAAATATGAATCAATTGTGACAATAGCATATAGCAAGTCAGCTTTTATTTTATGGCAAACTGCCTTACCATTCAGTGCTAAAGGAAACATGTGCTAAAATTTTTTCTTTAAATAGTCACAAACATATAACTAGTACTAACTGGAATCTAGTCTCACTATGACAAAACAGAGTTCAAGAATGACAAGATAGGTGAAACCACTTTAAATTCAAGTTGCAAAGGAGGGCAAGTAGCATCATTTGACAGATATGGGGGTTAGACGACATACGGGAGGGCCTTGACTTTTAGAAGTCTGTTTTTATGGTAATAAAGCCCAGATATAAGCAAATGAAATCATTTTTATATCCCGTATTTTGATACCAAGTTTCTTTAAGTTTTCAGTTCAGTTCTAGCTAAACTTATTAAATAAACCTCTAGCCCATGAGAACAGTGGCAGTTTTCAAAGTAGAAATTGCACTGTCCTAATAACCGCACTTTGGTGCAAATGGCCTTATGAGAAAATTGTTCTGAAGACAGCGTGTTCCACCTTATGTACCTGAGTTAATGACTGTTGAAGAATATATGGGTCTTTTTGTCTCTCTCATTTGAAGCTGTCACAAATAATCAAACAATTCTAAGAGATGTGAGGCTGTATTCATGTCTCCTAATTGTCTTCTAGCTAGTGTAACAACAGTAGACATTTTAGTTTTCTTATATGCAACCCAAGTCATGGGTCTAAGCAAGAAGAGGAATCCAAAATCACACAACAGATTATCACTGGCTTTCAAAGGATTAGAACATTTGATTTAATTACTATTTATAATATAAATTTTTAAGTTCCCACAATATAAAACATGCTTACTTCTTTATTTCACTTGTGTCAAATCTTTAGAAGTTGCAACAAATAATATTTCAACAAATAATATGGGGAGGACAATGATAATATTTCAGTTTACTGTTACAAGAGACTCAAATATTTTAAGGCAGACTTTCTCCATTATAAATATTATTTATCAGATATCACCTCTTTTAGATCTGTAATTTCTTTTTAAT